TCCTTGTCCTTCTTGCCTTCAATCTGTCCTGTGAGTATTGAATTTTCCAAGACCTCTTTCCTAATTGTGCCCTAGAAATTTCAAATGTCTCTTCCTGATGTAAGTACAGGGGCTGACACTATTTTTGGGACACTTTGAAAAGCGTGCTTAAAGGTGTTTTTTGCTGCCGAGAGCTTTTGTGTTGATGAGTAGGTAGTTCAGCAGTAACTGTCCATTAATGGTATGAACATTGATTGATGGGTTTGTCTTTGGTTTCATGTTTTCTTTACTTTTACTTCAACTTAGGCGACACTATTTTTCGGACATGACACAAATTCCGGGTTTTTTAATGATTTAGTTGTCGAACGTCTACAATATGCAAATTTTCTGCAGATAAATTGTACCCTGACCATTACATTTGAGTATCTTCACCATTCACTGCGAAAACGTATTAAAATCCTGAAGAATGCATTCAAAAAAAGTCCAAAAGAAGAGAGAAGACGGGCTCAGCATCCGAAAGATCGCCGCTGAGATGAAGCTAACGAAGTCAACAGTTGAATACATGCTAAGTACAGACTATGAGCAGAAGAAGAGAGGATGGAAAAAAAAAACAATTTCCAAGAGAACAGAAAGAAGAATGAAGAGGAGTGTTATGAGGTTGTTATCATTTGGAGAAAAGGTGACAGCGAAGAAAGTAAAAGAAGTGTGAACTTGACATCAGTGTTCGAACTGTACAAAGAAAGCTACATGAAATTGGAAATATGCTAAAATCAAGAAAAGAATTACACTAAAGAGAAAACACAAGGAGGCAAGGCTGGGAAGCGCCAAAAGATGGATAACAAGCCATGTTGGCTTAAAAAGCGATATTTACTGATGAAAAACGTTTTAAGTTCGACGGAGCTGATGGGTAGTGTACATGGTCGAGAAAAGGTGAACCTGTTATTCTCAACAAGAGACAGATGAGAGGAGGAGGAGTCATGGTTTGGGGTATGGTATTTCCGAATGGAAACTTATGGCTCGAGTGGTTAAAAGGACGTCAAAATAGCTTGAGCTACAGAGAACTTTTGGAAAAGAGAGCCCTACCACTCATAGAAAAAGAAATGGGAAGTAATTTTATTTTGCAGCAAGATAACTGCAGCATCCATGTGGCCAAATCAGTGAAAAATTGGATGTGTGAAGCAAATATAACTACTCTGGAATGGCCTGCAAGAAGTCCAGACTTAAATTTAATTGAAAACATATGGGAAATGCTTGCAGAGCTTGTTTACGACAGGCCAGAAATAGCCAGAGAGGCTGAACTGTGGCAGTGCATACAAGATGCTAAAAATAGACTGCTAGAAACATGAAGAGATGTTATTATCAATATGTACGAACATTATGAAGATAGACTGATAGAAGTCATTGTTGAAAAAAAAAAGGATGCTGCCATAAACAATTAGCATTGTTTCTGCAATGTCCGGAAAAAATATTGTCACCTGTGTAATGTGAAAATTTGTAAAAAAATAAAAATACTTTTAATTTGAATTCTGCTTTTCCATTTGTAGTATTAAAACAGTTTTTAAATGTTATTGCCATTATACTAAAACAGTACAGATGCCTGTGCTACCTAAAACTTGAAACTAGTGTTGGCCCCCTGTATAAGGGTCCTTTTTGTTTGTTTTCTCTCAAACTTTATTATTGTTCTATGGTCTTTATTATTGTTTGGTCTATGGTATTCTCAGCATCCTTCTGTAGAACCACATTTCAGACAATTTTTGGATACCAGACATGCATTAATTTTTATTAGTTTATTGATAATATAGGAAATACTAAAATACAATATTTACTTACACACTGTATTTAAATACAATGTTTGTCTGGTATAAGAAAAAAATATCAGAAATACTAGTGGAACAAAGCTCACTAAGAGGTTAATATACCTTTTTTATTGGATGAGTCAGCATCATTCATGGGAAAGATGTACTTGATGAACTGTAACAGGGGGCACTGATATTTGGTTGAAAATTCGGGATTTTTTTTTTACTAATAAGTCATGCCAATTTATTTATTCATCTATAAGCTACCTGAATAGTCTCATCAACCCCCTGGGGACTAAATATCAACCACTCTGAAGACATGTTTTAGACAATACCAGTTGCATTATGAAGTGAAGCTGGGGTTAATTAAAGTATTTTGTAACTGAACTGAACAATATATTTACTATTTTTTCCCCACATGAAAACAGCAAGCAACCTACCTAACGAACTTGTGTAAATGGATGGCAGAACAGAGAGGGGGGTGTAGCAACAAAAAAGACAAAAATTGCTAAGAGCTATGCAGGATAGAAAATTTTGGAGAGCCATGATTGCTCACATCCAGAAGGGACATGGCAAGTTATAAAGATGATCACTGACTGTAATTTTAAAATTCCATACTCTCAAGATGTTTTATCTTTCATGGGAAATAACTGCTTATAGTGCTTTTTGCAGTCTTTTAGAGAAATGAAAATTCTTTTTATTAAAATAATTTTGTAAAAACTAGTATAAATGAATCTGAAGGTAAAATGTCTCGTGATTTACTCATTGTTGGTAACCAGTCTAGAAGAACTCTGAATTCAAAACTGCCACCACTTAATTTAAAGACAATTTGATGTATGTAGGTCCTTACTTTCTGTACAATTCTTTTATTTCATGGGTGACTTTCACTGGATTTCCAAATTTTGATTATTCCCAAATTTATTACCAAGTTATAATAATACAAAAAAAATTGTCACAAAAAAAATCACATTAAAAAAAGAAAGAAAAGAAAGTCAAAAACAATTGCAATAATGAAAACTTGGGAATTTAAAATTTTTGAAACAGGAGCTATTGAAAGTTAGATAGTTGTATCCCTTTAATTGAAAAATTGTGACAGTGACCCACTGACATTATATAGATGAATTATTGAGAGTTGTGTCCCTTTGATTGAAAAAAGTGTGACACAGGCATATATATATATATATATATATATATATATATATAGTTATTTTCTAAGCATAGCTTAGATGTGGCACAAGGCCGAAAGTATGGGGCACCCAGTGAGGATCAAACTCACTACTCAGTCGTAATTGTTCTGGCGAGACAAGCTTGCTAACAATTACACCACCTCGAAAGTGCCAATAATATATATATATATATATATATATATATATATATTCTGTAGTTTACTGCTACCAGCAAGCAGAAATATTTCTTCTCCTGATGATGGCCATTTTGGCCGAAACTAGTCGAGGAATCTAAATGAAATAATATAAAAAAAAAACGAAAGAATATTAATCTACAACCCAGTGTGTCTGAAGATTTTAATTTTTTAATATCTTTTTTATTGTTCAAAATAAATATATATATATATATATATATATATATATATACACACACACACACGAGTGAGTGAGTCTGATCAGTTCAATAAGTTTAAATTGGCAGCTGATCTCAAAAACAATCTACCTTCTGTTGGCAATGAATGTTTTGTTAATATCAATGTTTCCAAAACAAAACTGCTCTGTATTAATCATCTGAGAAAATCCTTCCTGCATGCCATCAGCATGGCTAATGTTAACTTACAGGAGAGTGACTCATTGTGCCTTCATCTATCTAAAGTGGAAAGATTATATCAAATCAACTGCTAAGTCTGCTGCTAGGGAAATTGGTTCTCTGTGTCAAGCTAGACAATTTGTTTCAGCTGAATCTATCTTACATATTTATAATTCAACCATTCATCCATGCATTAGTATATTGCTGCTACATATGGTCTGGTGCACCTGCTATATATTTAGAGATCCTTGATAAAATCCAGGGAAGAATCTGCAATGTCATTGGTCCTGATCTGACATCTTGGCTTCACTCATTTTCCCACGGTTGTAATGTAACTTCACTTTTCTTTTTCTATAAATACTTTCATGGTAGTTGTTCTGATAAACTCTCCTCTGGTATTTAGACTATAAATTTATGTGCAGTACTTGATTGAGGCAGCATCACATTGTTTCAAAATTGAAGTGGCTGAATGTAACCATATGTTCTATACTAATAGTTTCTTTGCTCATGCTTCTGGAGCTTACTTCCAAATTCCAAGTCAACCTTGATCAAAAATTTAAGTGCCATGTTAATCTTTATCTACTGTCTTCTTGATTTCTGTCCTTTTATTTTTCTCATGTCTTAATAATGTTTTTTTCTAATATCCTTTCACACTCAGTAGCACTCTAGTGGCTTTGTTGCCTTGGAAATGAAATGATTAATATATATATATATATATATATATATATATGAAGAAAAATACAGAAAAAAACAAACAAAAATCTGAATATGCAATTATGTAGTATTAATGTTAATATAAAGTCGACATCGGACGTTTCGGTCTATTTAAGACCATCTTCATGGACATTTTCATTTAAACATAATTAACATTAGAACTTATAAAAATTTAACACAAAAGACGATGGACATAAGAGCCCAACTAATCCAAACAGATAACTGAAATTTTATACAAGATCAGCGTTCCGTTTAAATATGATCACGTAGTAAATCACGTGGGCGATGTTGTTAAAACGTATTCAAGATGATTTCCAAATATTAAAATATATATATATATATATATATATATATATATATATATATATATATATAATGCACTTTTCTAAAGTCTTCAATGCATGAGGGTCAATTAGCTCATTTCTTAAAATCAAAAGAGACAGACACGATTTGATTATAATGGTGATGGCTTGATTGATTCACTTATTTTCCACATCTTATCAACCCTTTGCAGGTTATTTAAACCCCCAAAATGTTTTTAGATTGTAAGGTTTTTGGTGGGGATTGGGGGGACAATAATGATTTAGTGATACAAGTCTTACTAATTAAACTATAGCTGGGGGAGAAGCGGTGGATTCATACTTTTCCCAAGAGTGTTTGTGTGTAAGTGACTATAACGAACACTGCTGGAAATGATCTTGGCTCTCTGAGTAACAATTCTAAGCCATTATGCGTTACACCATCTACACATCCAAGCTTACAGCACCTGGTATTCCCAAGCGGTTACCCATCTAGGTATTGACCAGAATTGACATTGCTTAACTTTGATGATCGTACAGGAACTGGAGTTTCCCACATGATGTAGTCGTAAGCCTGGTGAAGAACCAACCATACATTTTAGAAGAACCAAATACAGAGAACTGGTGTGCACAGTGTGCAACAAGGTCTCCAAAATGACCTCACCCCAGGTTTTGAATTCAGAGTCATCTTTCTCCTAGACTGGTTGCCAACCAAAGTTAAAGAGCTACTATTTAACCATACCAAGAAAAAGACAGAGATGGATTAATACTTTTCTCAAGAGTGTGCATAAGTGAATGAAATAAGCTTGATTGGAATTTGAACTTAAGTGATTTCTCATTCCAAGCAACTATCCATGACACCACCTGTGATGTGTGTATGTGTGTGTGTATAAAAACACATTTCACAAGGCAATATGCACAAATACTCTGATCCTGAACACAAGTGCCAATATATACATAAATGATCTATTTTTTGTGGTATTATGCTAGTAAATTTTAAAATAAAAAAGTCACTACTTAAATGCTAAAATTATTTCTTTTTATGGCATTTCAATATAGTGAAATATTCTATTTGTATAGATACTGAGCAGAATTTTCATTAATTTGTTAATGGCTTATTAGCTTCAAAAGTCAAAGAGTATTTTTCATAAACACATACATTTTGCATACATGTACCCACTAACAACAAATATTTGAGGGTAGAACAATGAAGTTATAGCCTGATACATGTATTAGCAGAATTTTGATATTTCTATTGTTCAGTCTATGTGGTTCGTTAATATTTACTGCTAATCAAATGGATTAAGATATGTTGAAAAATGAATATTAGTTGTGCAAAATTAACGAGTTCATCAGGCTATGGACTAACTGACATGTATATTTTATTTCACTATTTCTATCAGAGATATTGAACCAAAGAGTATATTAGACAAGGCTAACTTTGATATAAGGTGCATTTTTCTACAGAACAAACAAGGACATGTGGTCGAGTGATTAGAATGTTCACTTTTTCAACTATGAGAACTGGGTTCAAATCTCACCATAGTCGACAGGTCAAGGACAGTAACTTCATGATGAAATTTGGCTTGGGGAGAGGGGGGGGGAATTCTCAGCATGTGGAACCATACCATGGGTTGACCTAAACCTTCTGAGTGAACTGTTCAGAAGCTGTCAATAACTGTGAGAGCATGAAGTCAATATAAAATATTTAAGAACAGGAAATTGATTAGAAAGAAAAGAAGAATGCTTAAATGCTACAAAATATCCATTTTCCCACTTGCCAATGAATTCTGGACAATTTTCTCACAGATTAAGAGACTTGATGCAACAGAGATGTGTCTTACAGAAATGCTGAAAATACCATGAATGGATCATGTAAGCAACAAGGAAGCTTTAAGGAAAACGGTAACAAAAGGACACATGCTTAGAATCAAGAGTTGAAATTTCTAGGACACAATGAGGAAAGAAAGCTTGGAAAATTAGACACTTGCAGGATATATTGAAGGCAAGAGGGAGAGAAGGAAACATTGAGTAACCATACAATCTTGTGTAAATAGAGATAGAGAAGGACAGTAAAAAGACAAATATTGCTAAGACGTACAAAGGATAGGAAGTTGTGGAGAGCCAAAACTGCCCACATCCTGAAGAGTAATGGCACATAGAAGATACAACTTCCTGCTATGATGTCATTGCATCAAAGATTAAAAAAAAATTGATACCTCAATTTATAGTCTCAATTTATTTTAAAAAATTGGTTTAGCACTAGATGATAAGTCAATATGCCATAAAACCATTTTATCTGAAGAAAATTGAATGGTTAATTGAAATGGGGAATATAAATGCTCCATTTAGGAGTCAGCTCTTTATTGCTTATGCAATCACTTTACAGAAATATGCCATTCACAAGCCTTAGGAAAATAGGTTCTACATAAACTCATGGTAAGAGATAGCAATTGGCATTTAAGCACTTCTTTCTCAATAAAGAAAAAAGTAGTTTTTTAGACAAGATAGTTATTGACAATAAAAATTGGAATTATCAAGAGAATCCAGTATAAAGAGAATTATAGGTAGATTGAGGACTGCCTTCAATATCACAACTGAAATGGAATCTACTGGAAATGGGAGTTGTTCTGCATTTATGGCAATTCAAAAGGAATTCATTATTATAGAGAGTTTGAACTTGGATAAATTGTTACAGAAAGTTGTTTATAATCTATTGAAAATGACTGCTAAAAACATCTTTGTTTAGGAAGTTTTAACTTTGATAGATAATTAAAAACTTACTAACATTTATATATATAAAATTACTCATAGAAATTGAGGAATAGCAAGAAGTGAAAACAAAACAAGTATTATTATCTGGTTGTTATGTGGTGTTGGATACATATGAGAGAGTAATACTGAATAGAATTGTGAGTTTGGGATCAAATGTAGATCAAATATGGATCAGAATCCAACAGAAGGTTAAGAAAGAATACATGAAGTGCATACAGTCTTTCTTGTATGTCTTTATGTGTAATGATTGTCGTGATAATTAGTTGGAAAAATACAAACAGTGTCTGGGTTTTCTTGTTATTATCCCATATACTTGTGTTGTCCAGCACAGGAATTGAACTTGACATGCCCACTAAAATATTTAATAAAATATTTCATCATAATTTAGGTAGATACTGACAAAATATTGTCCAGATATAGAAGACATACCACATGGCTTTTTAGGGTCAATTAGGAAGAAATAAATAATATAATTCTGGAGCCAATGTTCTTATGAAAAATTTTATAAATCTCATGAAGTCTGGCCCCAAACACGAGATGCACAGATGTCACCAAGGTCTACATCACTTTAGCTGCTTATCTTCAACACCCCATTCATGTCCACATACAAAAAAACAACAGCGCTGACAAACTACCAAGAGACTGCTTCAGACTGTGGAGCAACAATTCACAGTAAGAACTAAATTCTAACTTTCTCTTGTATTCCCATTATTACTAACCATACACAAATATACTGACTTTTTCACACAAACACACATGTAACCACATTTCACTGTTCTCACATACATACACAAATACAAGCTATATTCTATTCCAGAACTTTATTAACCAAAACAAAAAGACATCACTCATTCAAATCCGTAACCAATTTCTTATATTCTTGTTATATTAATGTTTATTTGTTGATACAACATTGTCTTTTCCTACTGGATTTTATCCAGTCAATGAAATCCTGGGATTATTGTAAATGGCCAAATTATGAGCAGTCTTGCAACAATATTTTACGTTATTGTATCGAATCCTGACACTTCAAATTTTGACATTTAACAAAAAACTTAAGTAGAAGAATTCGCACAAACTCACAACCAACCAGCTAATAGAAACTAATGCTTTGTTATTGTTAATATTGGATTAGTCTGTCTCCCCTGTTCTGCCATAGAGCTCAATTTAAGTTTATGGTATTTCTTCCAAAGAGTCTACATTCCTTTGGTTGGTGAATCACTGACAGACCACTTCAACATTTCTTACCTCAAATTTTTGTTGAGTGCTAAATGATAAATGTTGCTATTATGGCCTGGAAAAAAAAGGAGCCAAAATTCGTTGGTGCATGTGTTGACAGTCTGTCTAATAGCAAGAAAGGTCAAATGTTTGTGCATATACAGGAGAAAAGTAGGGTTGATTCATATTTGTTTAGAATGTGAATTGATAATTATAATTGTTATAATTATTTAACATTATAATTAAAGTATAGGATTGGTGTATATGAAATAAATTCCAATAAGCAAAAAATATTCTTAAAAGAGTGCTCAATACAGAGTAGAGCAAATATAATTATTTATTTGAAAATTATAACAAATATATTATAAAATTGCTACAAAAATAGACATCTTGTTTCAACACCATCACTTGATAAGACACCAGAAGTGTTGAAACAAAATGGCTATTTTTGTAGTGATTTTATAACATATTGATGATATAATTTTCAATAATTTTATATACACATACACACACACACACACACACACACACACACACACAGGGAGTATAAAATACTTTTACAAACTTTGAGGAACAGGTATCTCACACCAAAACAAGGTCAAAATTCAATATAAGCATGTTAGGAAATCTTTCATTTTTGAGTTATTAAGTTTAAAGAAACTTTATGGTAGCTGGTGCTGTGTTTCCATGTAAATTAAGTAACATGTGTCATGTGTGGCTAATCCATTTTCAACATTTAAGGAGTGTAGCAGTGAGTTAACTGAGAAGTGTTCCATTTAACAATGGCAGGATATTCATATAGTTAGCAGGCAGATATGATTTTTTGCATACAGCTGTGCAAATGGTAATGGATACGAGGCTGTGCAGCTGTATCAGATTACATTTCCTGACTAAAGGCAGCTGAGTCATCCAACTTTTGCTGCTGTTTATCATCGCATTGCTGAAACAGTATCTGTGGCACCATAAACTATGAATTCAGGAAGACCGAGATCCACTCGTACACCTGACCATGAAGAACACATTCTACAGGCTGTCAGAGACGATCCAGGTATCAGCACACGTCAAGTGGCCCTAGTATGTTGTATATCTCATAGTACTGCATGTAGAGTACTTCAATAGCAGTTCCTATATCCATATCATTTGCCATGTGTTTAGGGTCATTCACCCTCTGATCAAATGTCATGGGAAAACTTTTGTTGATGGTTTATTGCATAAACTGTCATTCCGTTGTTTGGAATAACAATGGATTTTTATATGTGGACCACCTAAAACAACTGGTTTATGCAGTAGACACACTTCATCAACATGCCATTGGGGGGGTGAAACCATTAGACACTATGTGAGAGTATTTAGAAGGGTCTACCAGTCAATGATCCAAGAGGTGTATGCACGTGTAGAAGCAAGCAGAAGACATTTTGAGCATTTGTTATGAGTTGCTGTATTGAAGTACAACAATGGCCTCCTGGACATATGTTTATATGGACATTTTACCTTGTATTGGCATCAGGAATAAGCCCTCAAAGTTTGTAAAAGTATTTTTGGATTTTACATTTAACATCTACTTTCAACTTAACTTAAA